GGAGGGAACCCACACAAACACGGGGAGAACATGCAAACTCCACACAGAAAGACCCCGGCCTGATGGTGGAATTGAACTCAGGACCTTCTTGCTGTGCAGCAACAGTGCTAACCACTGTGCTGCCACCACCACACACTCAAAATTACTGAAGCAAAAAACGGAAAAAAGGGAATGTTCAAAGAAGAGCTTTGAATGCCCTTCAAGAAGCCTGGAGAATTATTCCTGAAGAATACTTCAAGAAATTATAGGAAAGCTTGTTTAATAGAGGTTGTGTTGAAGAATGAAGTCAGTGATACCAAATACTGACTCGCAAGCTCATTAGAATTGCCTTATATACTGTATTTCCATGTGTGTCGATAAGTCACTGCTACACCTTTCCCATTTTCCTAGCAATATGCCAAAAAGAAAAAAAAAAGGGTAGCTTAAGATTTTTGCACAGTACTGTAAATTTACAGCTTCATGAAGCAGTAAACATTTATGACTAGGCTGAAGCCTGAAGCTAATCCTGACAGAAACATTTCAATAGAACCAGACTTTGCTTTGCTTTCAAAGTCAATAAATATTTTCCCCCCTCAGTCAGGGGAGGTCCGTCTGCACAGTGACGGGTCACAAAGTACAAACTGGCCCGTACAAATAACTACTTCAAGAGGGTGATTCAACAGCACTCCAGAAATTTGTTTTCCTCTTTTTAAAAGAATTCTTCTATATTTTAGTTTTAAAATAAAGTGCAAGAAGGATTCAGAATTTAAACTAGTTCAGTCCAAACACAAGAATATGAACTGTGTGGTTTGGCAAACATTTATTTGCAATGGCAACGTATTTCAATATACACCCTACAAGAAAATCCCGCGTCTCCACAGCCATGCAGGCAGTCAGCTGGCCAAAATGAAAGGAGGCGATGACATCATGTGCAGTGTGAGGTCTTGGCAGAACAATAGAGCAGGCCAACATGGCAGCATGATTATGAAAGGTCAGAGCAGCAGTGTAAACATTTGCTTGCGGTTTTTGTCGAACGAAACCTGTTTATCATACTGTATGTTATTGCTTTAACTTTGTAACATGTTCGGAGGAAGCGCAAGGGTTTGGAGTGGGGGAGGTTTTGGAGCATTGAGGTAATATAAGCTTGCGAAAGAGGAAGAAACTATTCACACAATGGTCTGTATGCATTGTCTAGGCCTTGTCTCAAGACATATTTTAAGTATGCTGAACTTGAGTGACAGACACAGTTCTAAAGGATGACATTAAACAATATGTGATTTACAGTAATTTCAGCACATTGAAAAAATCAGAGCCACCTCACTGATGTTAAAATTATGCTTTTTGCTTTTTAAAATTTTTTTTACTTTTTACTTTTGTAATAAAATAACACAAAATAAAAAAGATTTAATGCTTGTAGATATTTTCGACTGCATCTCCTCACTAAAACGTAACATCCTGAGCACCAAATATACCTTCTGCCCTTGCTTGTGTATAAAGTTTGCTTTTAAAGTAACCCTTTCAAAATTCAGTATTTGGTCTGTCCGTGTGTCCTTTGTCCAAGAATCATAACAGGCTCAAAGGACTCTATTGGTTTAGTTCTACCAATCAACCCCGATTATGCTGGTGTCTACATGCTTCCTGTTCTCCTCATCAGACTTTGGTGTCTCCTGGATCAGCTCCACGGGTCAGAGCTGTGTTTCTGGCTGTAGTTCTGCAGCGCGATCTGGTCTTTGATCTGGTTCATCAGAATCTGAGACAAAAGCATTCCAGCCAGCTGCAAACCAGAAAACATGACAGAAGGTTCAACATGTGTCTCTTCTATTAGAAGCTGTGTCAGTGTTGGTATGTAATCCTCTACCTGTGGTATAGCCAGTCCCAGCGCAATGCCTCCTAGTAAGAATAGGTTGCTGTGGATCCAATCAACTATTTTGTCTATGCAGCCGTTGGTGTGAACGCGGTTTCCAGCCTCGATGTAATTCAATTCCTGAATGTTGTGACCGCACATGGTGTTGATTACCTGCCCGCAAACGAGCACACAGTTAAAACACATGAAAAACAACAAAAATGAACCACAAAAATCAGTATCAGCATATTCTTAAAAGCAAGTTCACCGTGTCATTTCTTAAGATACAGCAGGAAAAGGGGACAGAGCAGCGTTCTCGGCTGGGGTTGTCCTTGCTGCAGTTGAAATACATGTTCTGTGACCAGTCCAAGTACCTCAAAGCACCACAGCAGTCAAACTGATGAGACAGAAGAGATCAGAAGATGGAGTAGCCACCTAAAGGCTGCCATCACCCCAACAATTCCACCTTCAGGCTAAATCCTTACCTCTTCCTGACCAAAATCAATAAGGTTTTGCAGATCAATATCATCTCTGTAGTGGACAATGGCATTGTTGATCACCTCGGTCACTTTACCTCTTGCCTTGAAAGAAAAATGAAAAAGTATTTTATGGATAAAAAAAAGTAAATAAAACAATGAAATAAATCTAGAATAATATGGACAAAGTGCAGCAGAGGGCGCTCTCATCTTATAATACACAACCTCTCTCCCTGTGTGTGTTTGTTTGCTTCGTGGCTGCCAACTCTGACAAGATCAGCAGTTTGGAGCAACCAAACGTGGCACACATGTACATGTTAGGGCCTTGAAGAATTTCATCTCCATCAGACTTTGTAACGTCATCATGTTGCCTAGCAACCTAAACCTTTTTAAAATCATCCTATATTTAAATCTTCTTTTTTTTTGTTTTTTGCCTGTCCCATTTGGCTCTTTTGCCATCAGAATTATTGTCTAAAGGCGAAGAAAGATGCCCAACGGATTTACTTTACCAACTGGACCATCCCAGCCTTGCCGTAATGATCTATTTGATTCACCTTTTATTGTTTATTTTCACTTGCTAAATACGGGACAGACTTGAATGAGGAAAAGAAAAGGGAGAAAGAAAGAGGGAAAATAAACAGCGGAGAAGAGGGACGGGGATAAAGGGCAAAAAAACAAAAACCAACAAAATAAGCAGACAAAAATACATATATCAATCACCTGGATCACCTGTTGAGAAAGAAAAAAGAAAACAAGCATTTAACAAGGGATAAACAACATCATGATGATCTATGGGAATATAACAGTAAATACTAAGTGTTAAACATTATTGTGCAGCACGTAAGATCAACAGCGCACAGTGTGCTTTGAGGTAGGAGCCAAAAAGGGTGTAGTTTGTGTGTGTGAGCACCCGTGTGTACACCTGTGAGCATGAGCGCGCTTGTTTTTAAAAGGTTCCTACATGTAATGATCTGC